AAAAAAAAAAAAAAAAAATTGGTCATTTGCAGCTCCTTTCCTATAGCAGAGTGGTTATGGCACCGTCCACATGCACTGAGGCTGGTGGGTTCGAACCAGTTCGGCCCAGCTAAACAATGACAGCTGCAACAAAAAAAATGGCTGGGCACTGTGGTGGGCGCCTGTAGTCCTAGCTTGGGAGGCTGAAGCAAGAGAATCACTTAAGGCCAAGAGTTGGAGATTACTGTGAGCTGTGATGCCACAGCACTCTAGTGAGGGCAACATATTATTTTGACTCTGTCTCAAAAACAAAACAAACAAACAAACAAAAGAAAAGATAATTTGTGGTGTGTGGCACACCTTTTGGGGGCAGGACACAAGGGTCTTTATCTAAAAAATGCAATCAATGTAACCTGGTTCTTTTTTATACCCTCAATGAACCCCCAACAATAAAAAAAAATAATAAAAAGAAAAAAAAAAACGGTTATTTGGCTGGGAGCTTATGCCTGTAATCCCAGCACTTTGGGAGGCTGAGGTGGGAGGATCATGTCAACCCAGGAGTTTAAGACCAACCTGGGCAATATAGCGAGACTCCATCTCTACAGAAAATTTAAAAAATCAACTGTGTGTGGTGGCCTCTGTAGTGTACCTATACTCAGTCCCAGCTGAAGTTGAAGGATAACTTGAGGCCAGGAGTTTGAGACTAGCCTGGGTCACACATTAAGACCTTATTTTTATAAAAAAGGAAAAAACTATCATTTGCTGGATACTTTACACTACTCATACTAAGATTTAACTAGATAAAAAAGAAAGGCATAGAGTATTACCACTCTTCTTGAGAAGTTCTCCTTTTCGGGATATGTCCAAATTTTCTAGAAACTGTTCAAAGACTTTCACATAAGGTGCTAGACTGGTCTTCTTATAATCTAAATTATGAAGAATATTATAATTAGCAAGTTGGCAGCAAGAATAACATGAAAATATAAATTTACCTTTCTTTTTTTTTTGAGACAGTCTCAACTCAAGCTGTTGCCCTGAGTAGTGTGCCATGGTTTGAACGTGCCAGCCTCGATGTAGGTAGCCGGTGCCCTACCCACTGAGTACCTATAACTTTACATTTCTTGTTTTTTTTTTTTTTGGGGGGGACAAAGCCTCAAGCTGTCCCTCTGAGTAGAGTGCCGTGGCATCATAGCTCACAGCAACCTCCAACTCCTGGGCTCAAGCGAGTCTCCTGCCTCAGCTTCCCAAGTAGCTGGGACCACAAGTGCCCGCCACAAAACCCAGCTATTTTTTTTT